TAATTTGCACGAAAAAATGTGTATTAAAATAGATAACCCTTATACTGAAATAACCATATTAAATGAAATATTCTTTAAAGTAAAAGGTCATTGCGAATTTTATTAAAAAAAGATAACATATTTTTAAAACACTGCGAAAGGATTAACAAATTTACTTAAAAATGTTTCATTTCTAGGTACTCTCTATTCCAACAACTTCGGCATTCACAGGAAGAACTTTTTCCATCACTTAAAGATCGTTTTTACTTTATCTTTTAAATAAAATACTATATACATATATTCGTAGTGTACTATATTTTTCCAACATTTTTTAAAAAGTACTATGAATATCTTAGAAAATGTTGGCAACCCTAACCTAGTGTGACAATTAGGAAGGCGACTTCTTCAAATTTTATAATCGCGGTAACTCAGTAATTAAAAAATTATTGTAGAGAAGTTCATGATCTGCACCTTTCGTCTCTCCATTTTCGTGTCAACACTAATACTATGTCTCCATTGAGAGATTTATCCATTAAGATTTAATAAATCCAGTTGCTAAATCATAACCGTCTCCATTACCACAACGAGATATGCTTGACTTTCACATTTTTAAATATTTGACGTTTGCTTATGTATGATTTTATAAATACAGTTGCGGACATTGATATACAGACAGACAAAAGGAAGGTACCAAGCGGAATTTCATTATATGAATTCTGAATATTATTGGCTTCTTATTCGTGGTAAATATGTATGTATAATATATAGTTTGGAAAGTGTAAAGAATGGTACCATATTCCGTATAATTTTCCCGAATTTAAGAAAAATTATCAAAACGGTAAAAAACATTTGCGGAAAGAAAAATTTTTGTAGAACTCTCTTATTCATAGGAGGGAACCGAAAATCCAATCGTGGGCCTTTGGCATATCATGAATACGAACTGAGTTCTAGAGGATGTTCGGTGCAATGTTATCGAAGCAGAACCATTACCGAAATTTATAAATTTTTTGTCGCAGCGCGTAAATGACTTATAGAAAGCGGAGAAGACTCTGCATGATATTACTATAAAACATTTCTTCTAAATTTTTAGTTTTTAAAATAATATTTTCTTAATTTATTACAACCAAAGTTATGTAAATATGTATGTATTACTAATTTTCCTCCAAAACTAACAAAAATATAAAAATCCCTAAAAATACGAAAATTCATGTTTTTATGATAGGCTAGATTTCAATGTCCTCAACTGTATATTGAAAACATAAATGTCATTTGACTTATGGCATGTGAATTTGTGGTTGCCACATCCAACAAATTGTACTTATTGATCAATATTATTGAAGATTTGACGAAGATTTAACTTAAATCTACTGCCTTTCGAGATTTAATTTTATATGGTAAATCTCAAAACATTTAACGTCAAATCTCGTCAGAGGGCTAAATCTTCATTAAATCTCACAATGGAGACATAGTATAAAGGCCCGTCCACGTGCAACTTTGGCGTTGTCGTCGGTTGTCGTCGCTTCAACAGCTGACTTTGAATACATGAATTCCAAGGCAGGCGTCCACAGAGCCAAAATTTGGCAACGCTAACGCCAACACAAAGCAAAAATATGGCCAACTCTCAACTTTTCGCGTGCATTGTTCGTCAGCTGTGTCAACAAAATAAAATTATGTTAAATATTTTCCCATTTTAATCAAATGCTGGCAAGAAATGTCGTTTTCCATGCAATTGTTCATATGAAATATTAATTTATCTATCGCTAGTTTGTTAATTTAGTGGCCAAAGTATTCGCTGCCAAGCGTTCACTGTAGCAAGCATACTTTTAACCATGATAAAAGCATAGTGAGGTAAAACCGTTCTCTCAATACGTCGGCCATGATTTTTTTTTTTAAGTTTGCCAACATTTTAAAATCGTATAGAATTGAGAGTAAAAAAAAAAGAATTGTTCAAAGTTGTTGTTGTTTGAGTTTGAAAATGAGAATGTGTGCGTGAGTTTGTGTGTAAAATTTTAAAATTAAATTGCTTGCAAACGTCAAGAATTTGAAAAATTTTTCTCAGCGGTTCTACCTTCCTATTTTTTATCATGCTTTTAACCATAATAAAAGTTTAAAGGTAAAACCGCTGAGAGGCAGCCTGAACATTTTTGAAGCTTGCTAACATAACAAAAATGTTTTAAATTTTTCAATCTCACACATACATTCTCACCAAGGCGAAATTATACAAGGTGGTGTTACTGGCAAATTTAGAATTTCGCCGTGGTCCTTCTCAATGTCAAAATCAAGGCGAATTTATACAATATGGTGTTGACAGAACAAAAACAAAAATTACAACAACAAATTATATGCACATTGACAAGCAGTACAAAGCAAAATTACAACAAACACATCTTTTTGACAAAAGGTACAAATTCGCCGTGAAATCAGCGGATCCGATAACACCACCTTGTATAGATTCGCCTTGGGCAAAATGATGTGTTTGTTATAATATGAACTCGCCTTGTTTACAACAAACACATCATTTTGACATTGAGAAGGACCACGGCGAAATTCTAAATTTGCCAGTAACACCACCTTGTATAAATCCGACTTGATTCTCACTTTCATTCTCAAATAAAGCAAAATTGAATATTTTCATCTATTTATTTTTATACCCGAGCGCACTTGTGCACAAGGGTATATTAATTTTGTTCACATAACGGTTGTTTGTAACAGCCAAAACGAATCGAGATAGATATAGACAAATGTATACATAAATGCTCAGAATGAAAAGAGAAATCGATTAAGCCATGTCTGTCTGTCCGTCCGTCTGTCCGTCCGTCCGTGTACACGATAACTCGAGCAAACTTGCAGATATGTCAACGAAAGTAGTACGTAGGTTTCCGTTAATCCAAGGTAGGTTGGTATTGAAAATGGGCGAAATCGGACTTTAACCACGCCCACTTCCCATATAACGGTAATTTCCAGAAATACGAAAACTGCGATATTTTAGTAACTACTGAAGATAATTCACTCAAAATTGATATTTACAATAATTTTTAGACGAAAAATAAGAATATTATAAATTTTTGGAAAATGGGCGTAGCCACGCCCACTTATGGTTACATGTGTATATCTTGGTAACCGCTGCACCAATTTCTTCCAAACTTGGCACAGTTGTTGGCCTTCGCATAACATACCAAATGGCCGAAAATTTTTAAAATCGCTCAATAACCACGCCCACTTCCCATATAACGGTAATTTTCAGAAATACGAAAACTGCGATATTTTAGTAACTACTGAAGATAATTCACTCAAAATTGATATTTATAATAATTTTTAGACGAAAAATAAGAATATTATAAATTTTTGGAAAATGGGCGTAGCCACGCCCACTTATGGTTACATGTGTATATCTTGGTAACCGCTGCACCAATTTCTTCCAAACTTGGCACAGTTGTTGGCCTTCGCATAACATACCAAATGGCCGAAAATTTTTAAAATCGCTCAATAACCACGCCTACTTCCCATATAACGGTAATTTTCAGAAATACGAAAACTGCGATATTTTAGTAACTACTGGAGATTATTCACTCAAAATTGATATTTATAATAATTTTTAGACGAAAAATAAGAATATTATAAATTTTTGGAAAATGGGCGTAGCCACGCCCACTTATGGTTACATGTGTATATCTTGGTAACCGCTGCACCAATTTCTTCCAAACTTGGCACAGTTGTTGGCCTTGGTACAGCATACTAAATGGCCAAAAATTTAAAAAATCAGACAATAACCACGCCCACATCCCATATAACGGTAATTTAGAGAAATACAAAATCTTCGATAAATCAGTAAATATTGAAGCTAATTTATTCAAAATTGATGCTTGCAACAATTCTTTACCAAGAAATACGTTTATGGTAAAATTTTGGAAAATGGGCGTGGCACCGCCCACTTATGATCACATATAAGTATATCGGTAACCGTTCTACCAATTTGTACCAAACTCGGTATGGTTATTGTATACCAAACTCGGTATTTTTATTTTGAAAATTATTGAAATCGGACTAAAATTACGGCCGCTTTTCATATAACGGTAAATTTCAGAAATGNAAATGGGCGTGGCACCGCCCACTTATGATCACATATATGTATATCGGTAACCGTTATACGAATTTGTACCAAACTCGGTATTTTTATTTTGAAAATTATTGAAATCGGACTAAAATTACGGCCGCTTTTCATATAACGGTAAATTTTAGAAATGCTTGAAACTGGAATATTTCGAAATTTAAGGACACTAATTTACTCAAAATTGATGCCCCCTTCTTACCATCTAGCGGTAGCTTTCGGAAAGGTGAAAAACATATATTTAATACTTGCGCCGGGTATTTAATGTTCGGCTCCGCCCGAACTTAGACTTTCTTACTTGTTTGTTTTACTTTTATTTTGAATTTGAGTTGCTCTGAAAATTGTAATTGTATAAAGTAGACAAAGTTCAAAAAATGAATCAGGGCCGACGAAATTAGCGAGCGGTTTTAATTGAAATACTTGTACCATGCTTTTAACGGGCGTTCTGTCAAACCAACGCCAAGGGCACAGCCAACGCGAAAGTTCTATGTGGACCGGCCTTAACAATTCACGAGTAAAGTTCAAGACGAAAACGGTATATGCGATCTTTTGCCTTGGATGCAATTTCTAGCAGGCCTGGGATCTGTGGGGACACTTGACACATTTGTATTAGTATACCAATGTTTAGGGCTATGTAAATTATAGTAAACTAACCACAATTCCTTTTCTAATTTAAATTGGAAAAGTATTGCTGAATTTATGTGTAGAAATGTATGTACATATGTATGTATGCATGTGCTGGCACTTGTTTCGAGCGCTTTACTTTATCTGTCAAAAATGCTTACTTTCGATATGTATGTAAACGCAAATGTATATTAATTGACATATGGTGGGTATATCGGTATGTAAATAGCATTAACAGTATAAAAAGGTCTGACGGCTGCTGTTTTCTATCATTCACTGCTTGCATTCGCCGCAACAAAGAACTATTCAACACACATCTGAAAAATGGCTTTCAAGGTTAATATACCGACCGCTTAGGATTAGAAAACCTGCTCCAATTATTACATAAGTACATATGTATACGTACATATATAGTACTAATAAAGCTTTATTCTCTTTCTTTGCAGTTTGCTTTCGTACTCGCTTTCGTTGCCATAGCCAACGCCGGATATGCACCTATTGCGCCCATTTACCATACTGCACCTGCCGCTGTTGCCGTCCATGCTGCGCCTATAGCTGTAGCCCAAAAGGTTATTGTTAAATCAGAGGAATACGACCATCATCCACAATACAAGTTCTCTTATGCTGTTGACGACAAGCTGACCGGTGATTCGAAGACCCAAGTGGAGGAACGTGACGGTGATGTTGTGCGCGGTGAATACTCACTCATCGACTCCGATGGATACAAACGTACTGTCCAGTATACTTCGGACCCTGTGAATGGTTTCAACGCTGTGGTGAACCGTGAACCCTTTGTGAAGGCTGTTGCTGTGGCCCCAGTTATAAAAACAGTCACTCCAGTAGTTCACTATGCTGCTCCTGCTTTGGTAAAGACAGTAGCACCAGTTGCACACTACACCTCTCCAGTGGCACACTATGCCGCTCAAGATGTGGTTAAGTCTCCTCACTATACTGCTCCCGTTTCTCACTACGCTGCTCCCGTTTCTCACTATGCTGCTCCCGTTTCTCACTACGCTGAGCCAGCCTTAGTAAAGTACCAACATTAAATAATGCAAAACTTTTAAACGTGATTTGAAATTGATTTGGAATGACTGAACGTGTTGATTGTAAAAAATTGTTTTTTAGTATTATGAACTATATCTTTGTACACACATACATAAATAGACTCCTATTTATTTCAAAGTCAGAAGTCGTTTTGTAATAAAAATTTACAAACAAATTTTAGTCATAAATGAGTCTTTACGGAGTCCTATTTCGGAGCCTCTACACTCATAATGAGCTCATTTAAGAGTCCGGCATGAGGGTGTTTCCCTATCTCCGAATTAGAGATGGTCACGGGACTATATATTTAATCCCGATCCCGCCCATCTCGAAAATCGATTTTTAAGTCCCGAACCCGCCCATCCCGACGTTTTTCAGAATTGTACCGCGGGTCCCGTGGATTTATCAGGAGTGTCGGGAAGGGATTTTGGTCCCGTCCCGTCCGCCATATTTTTACAGATCTTCCCGATACCGTCCATCCCGGCCAATTTTAAATGATCTCCGCTGGTCCCGCTATCCATATTGGGCTCTTATTGGCCTCACATACCGCTCATTTTGGACTCTTTTAAAACAATTTTTGGCCTCACGAATCATTTCAGACTCTTTTTTATGGCTCTTATCGGCCTCCTAAATTACTACATCCGGACACTTATTTTAGGGTTTTTTTGAGTCTCTATACTTGCAAAGGCATTTAGCACAAATTTCTTTAACCCTCCGATGAGTGACAGTGCCGATGACGTTAGATTCGTGAGAAGGTCCTTAGGGACCTACAAAGAGTTGCTCGATGTTTCGACTGTACATGTGCAACTTCTTTGGTATTTATGTTGTCTTTTGATTAAATTAACGTCCTGCATATATATTAGGAATGAAATAATTTGAAGAACAAGTGAAAAAAAAATCAAAACATGAAGACAAGTAACTTGTTATTTCTTCTAAAATTGTACAAGGTCCCTAGGGACCTTGTCACTAATCCCCGTACTATATATGTTGAAATCTCAATAACACTCGAACGTGATCCCGTATCCCTTCGAAACTTATTTTAAACGATTCAGCTTAATTTATTCTTGGAATACATGTATAAATTCTTTTTTTTTTAAATGCAAGTAACTTGTTATTTCTTCTAAAATTGTACAAGGTCCCTAGGGACCTTGTCACTAATCCCCGTACTATATATGCTGAAATCTCAATAACACTCGAACGTGATCCCGTATCCCTTCGAAACTTATTTTAAACGATTCAGCTTAATTTATTCTTGGAAAACATGTATAAATTCTTTTCAAAAATGCATTGAACAAAAAGATATAGGCACATGAAATAGGAAAAGGTCCCTAGGGACCTTCTCACAAATCGAAGGGTTAAATTAACGTACATAAATACTTACGTGCATATACACATTCAAACATGCATTTAATAGCAGCAGATGCAGCTAGATTTTGTTCATTTTTTGTTTTCTAATAATTTTCAATTTCTGTATAAACAAGTTTAGATATAAATTTCGAATATTTATTGTTTTTTTATTGGCACAAGGTGCTGGCTCATAACTTGGATCATATATGAATGCTAAAAGATTCATATAAGAGTATACAATTTTTTGTTTTTGAAACTCATATTTCTTACCTGCCTAGGAATCCTTTCGGACTCATATATTCTGAACGCTCAAAATATGTGCGGGGAAGATCTCTTCATGATACCCCTTCATGGGGTGGCCTTTTAGAATAACTTCACTTAAGAAGGCCTACCTAAATTATCTTCTGAGAAATCATATGTTCAAACAAAAAATGACAGCACTGGCTAAGACGGGGGAATGTGTTTTGAGGTTAGAAGCAAAATTCTGACGTTACGGAGCAAACATGAAATTTTCGATGAAGAACAAAACCAAACGTAACAAGTGAAAACTAAGTACAAAACATAAAAGAATGTAATGTTATTATTGTCCACGTTCGTTGTTTGCTCAATTAATGTTCTTTTTTTTATATACCCTACATACGGCATAACTATTAGGTACATACGTGTATTACCAAAGGAAGTAGGCTAAATACTGTTTTGTTTCAAATGCGAGGCTTTTAGTACTTGCATGTATCAAAGAAAGACTTTTAAAATAAAATTTGGGTTTATTAAGTTTTACAATAATGGCTTAGAATGATGTAATTTACTTGTCCAATGACTTATATGTGAAGCCGTAAAGAATGGTACATATTGCATATTTTAGTGTTAATTATAATCTTTGCTATTGTTTATAGTGTTGCTATTTCTATGCATTAATGTCATGTGCAGTGAATAGAAATAATGAAAGTTACGTGTAGACGGGTAAACGGAGAATAAACATAACTTTAAAGGCCTAATTATATTATTATTTTCTTTATAGGAACGAGCTCAATTATCATTTAGCCTTTATGAAATAATGAAAAACTTAGGCTGCGATCGGCTAAATGAAAGATCGCATCAGGCCATCTGATGAAAATTTAAAAGAATTTAATGAAAGATGAGATATTTCATCTCTGAGGTCAAAATTCGTTGGAATAGGTCATGTAGACAAGAAGAACGTTTTTTTAAAGCAAACAAAAGTTGGCTTGAGTCCTCTATAGGTTTTCCGTTTTAAAAACAAAATAAACGTCAATTGTCCGAAAAAGCTCTACAGGCGCGAAGCAAATATTTTAGGAGCTACAGAGAACATATTTCTCGCAAGTGCAATAGAAAAAAGACGAATGAAGATATATTCAATAGACTTTTGATTAGTTCCGGCCCTGCTGTATCAATTATGACAAAACTACCCAAAAAAAATTGCAGGATTTGCCGAATTGTTAATTATGCAGCATTATAGCGATGATGAAGATGTTGATAGTGATGATGACGCAAGCTAACACTGAAAAAAAGGATTAGTTTCGACAACTAAAGATATTTACTTTGTCTTTAGGTATGTGACTTTTCTAAGCGTACAACGAAAATTTTGTATCACAGAACCAATCTGAGATTATTGATAAAACTATAGACCGGTTGGGTGAACAGTTAAGACGTTTACTTCTTAAGTGTGACAAAACAAAATCAAGTAATATTTTTAGCATAAATGAATATACCAGCATAAAAAATCTGCATACTCAAAATGTTTAATACGTCCTCATATTTATACATACCTATGTATATAATTTAAGAGAAGATATTTCGCTGCAAAGCAATGATTATAAATTATCAGTTTACCTTACAAAATTGCGGAGGAATATTATAGAGTATACGGAAAAAGGTTTATTTTTTTACATTTTTTATTTTGAATAACGTCTGGTCCAACTATTTAGTTTACTATACAGGTATGTAGAGCTATGAATATAAAAAATACATCAGGGTTTAGTTGAAATATTCGCTTTTGATCACTATGTTTTGTACATTTCCCAGTACTGCAAAGCTTTTGACTGCCATTCAACTGGGAGTGGCCCGCGTGGGGTTTGGGTCCCGCCACGTTAAAACCCTGCCCAATGAAAAAAAAAACATGCCTCGGGTGATACCCCCTTCTTTTGATGACGATCACGGCAAACATAGGAAGGACTATGGTTTTAGGGTATGCGCTTGAAATATCCGAACCCTTAATCGGGATGGTGCCTCTGCTCGGCTGGTTGATGTCCTAGGGAAAATAAAGGCTGACATCACCGCCATCCACGAAATGCGATGGACGGGGCGAGGAAGATAAGCGTGGAGCCTTGCGACGTCTACTACAGTTGCCACGTAAAGGAGTGCAATTCGGTGTTGATTTGTTGTGGGAGAGAGACCGGCGTTCACTCTAGTGGACGAAAGTCTAGCCACAATCCGCATCAAGGCGAGATTCTTCAACACATCATTCATATGTGCCAATGCCCCGATGGAAGAGAGGGACGAGGCATCCAAGGCTCTCTTAGCTTAGAGCGTACATATTAGCTGAGGGTGATCGACTTCGCCGGGGCCCGAAACTTGGCAGTATGTATTACTGGGTTCTAGCATAAAAAGATCCTTCAAGCTACATGGATGTCTCCACATCGAAAAACGGGAAACCAAATCGAGGATGTTTTGATAGACGGAAGGGAAAAAGGACCCCCAACAATCCAAGGAAAGTTCAACGTCGAAAATCTGCAATCAAAACAGACGGCCAATGGATTCGGCGCTCGACCCTAACACCTGCTGTGAGAGAGCACTCTTCAACAAACCGACTTGCGGGATCACTGGAACCACATTTCCCGCTCATTACTGGTACGATGAGGAGTGTGAGAAAATGCTTGAAATGCTGGCCGACAGAAAAAACACCCGAAATTTTTAGCAGAGAGTTGAGCGACTTACGGAAGGTTTCAAGACTCTTGTAGGAACAACCATGGCAACCTAGTGACCGATGTCCAGAACGTACTCAGATTATGGAGGGAACACTTTTCGACCCTTTTGAATGGCAGAAGCACTGAAAGAAGTGGAGAAGACAACCACGAGGTCCCAGTCGTTTACGATGGAGTCGATATCCCAGCGCCTGACTACGACGAAAAGTGCCAAAGCTGCTTGAGCTGAGGGTCTGTCATCTGGGCTATTTAATTACGAAGGCAAGGAGGTAACAAGGTGCATGCCCGGCGACTGGGATTCAAGTGCGCTCTGCCCAATCCAAAAGAAAGGCGACCCCGCCATGCGTGCCAACTACCGCGGGATCAGCCTTCTAAGCATAGCTTGCAAGGTCTTGTCGAATGTATTGTCTACCATACACCAGGTATTCACAATACGCCAAATCTTGGAAAAGACCCGCGATCGGCACTCACCACCTATTTGACGACTTTAAAGCCGCTTTCGACAGCACTAAAAGGAGTTTCCTATATGCCGCTATGTCTGAATTTGGCATCCCCTCAAAACTCATACGGCTGTGAAAAATGACGTTGAGCAATACCACCAGCTCTGCTCTGTTGCTGTTCGCCACCAGACGGGGTTTTAGACAGGACGACTTCTTTAATCTGATGTTGGAGAAGATAATAAGATCTGCAGAACTGAACTGCTCAGGAACAATTTACTACAAGAGCGTAC